TGAAGGGTATACATTTAAATGTTACGAAATAAAGTCATAGATGTTAAAAAATAGACACATATATGAACTCACTTTATTTCAATATTTCTATTAAACTTGCGTTGGTTAGATCTGGTGACAGGACACAAGAGTGTGAGTTCAATACCCGGTTAAGGCAGTGGAGAATTTGGAGAGGGGAATTAACAGTAGGTAACTAAAAACTGATATCCATTAAACATGGCACATGGAAATAGTCTACCCCAGTGAGCGAAATAAAGGGTTCAGATCGACATTCCAACCACCTGAAGAAGACCGGAGCGTACAACGGCCGAAACGTTGTAATAAATATGGCGACAAAGATGAGGACAATAGTCCGAATAATGTAAATAGTGTACATAATAATCTCAGAAATATAGACAGATATTCAATGTATTAGATTCTGATTTTATTTTTTAAGATCCTTGTTGATTTTTAACGGTCGTACCTACTTTTACAGAATAAGTTTTAGTTTATGTAATGTAAAGAAATAAATACAAACCTCAAAATTTTCTTCGGGTATTATGGTTTAATGTTTAGCAAAAAAGAGATTTATTTATTCTACTTTCGAATGAGTCATGTTCTTGAGGATGATAATTTATACAGGCGCTTTTCATTGTAATTAAATGATTTACATAATTATCTGAAAAAGTATCTTATAAAATGCCATCCACTTTTTAAAATTATTTGACATTGTCGGAGTTAGCTCCTCCTTAATTCCCAAATTGTCACTAGGGGGTCATTCTCCCTATACTATAATTAGTGTGCGACTTCTTGCCGTGTTCTCTTTCCTTCATTTGGAAGTAAAGTCTGATGATCTGCAGTCCTTTAAAAGGGCTGTGGTGAAATAATTTATTCCATGGAACCTTAAAGTGGTCTGTTTTTATTTAAATAATTTGCTCTGGATTTACATTGAGCTCTCTGGATTTTATCCACCTTGGTTTTGCCCATACGGATTACCTAGTTTTTCATAAACTATATATATATATATATATATATATATATATATATATATATTCCAGTCGAATCCATTACATTCACTTACGTGCTAATAACCTTGGGGAAGGTATGAATCCTCTTCTTCTGCCCCCAGCTATGGGTTAAGTAGCAGAACAGACTGGGTTCTATAGCCTTGGATGGCAACTGGTCTAGGAGAAGGAAAACTCTGAATTCAAAACCTGCAGAGGGTCGTTTGGGAACCTTGTGGCACTCGGTGCACCAGGTCTCTGTATTCGTCCCTTCAAAAAGTGTGGATGGTCCTGCACGAGGCCTTCACCACTATAATCAAATCTCATGTGCCGGTGTCGGGCTGTCGGTTTCCTGGAAACTGATTTGTTTTTGGCCCTAATACGTCGAAATCGATGAGAGAGTCGACTATATACATATATATATATATATATATATATATATATATATATATATATATATCGGTTTTGTTTGTCTTCTTTATCTTCAATTGGAATTCATGTCCAGCTATTTCCTTGTAGTTGCTCCTTTTAATACTCTAACAGGAGTTTCACACATTTTTTTAATACAACATCACGCAAACACACACGGTCCTCTACAACCTGACCTGAAGTTTACTTGTTTGGGCTTAACGCTCTTTGCCTGTAGATAAAACTGATTGACGTGTATTTAGTTTCGTTTTTAAATATTTTATTACCAAAACATATTACTTATAAGTAGCGTATGTAGGGGTGATAAATAGAGATATACGCTTTTCTTTTCTGATATTTATTCTCCGTAACAGAGATATTGGTTGTTTAGCACTGCTAATTGCTAATTTGATTTTCCAATTGAAAGACGTTTACAGTATGTATAAATACATGTCATTTCGTTTCTAATTTTTAAGTGAATATACTGTATTTTTGTTCTGTAGTGATATAAATCTTGCACAGAGGAAGGGTCAGAGTCATACTAATTTTAATAGCTTGCGATTTTACCATTTTCTCCAATACCCAAGTGAAATTGTTAAGAAACATTTCCTAGGTGCCGCAGGATCTGAATAAGTAAAATGAATAGGAAAACTCGATGCCCAATTGCCGAAAAAGATGAAGCATATAAAATATATTACGTTGTATCACAGACACACACACACACAAACACAAATATGCACATATATATATATATATATATATATATATATGTTGTACCTACAAAAATATCTTTAAATATATATATATATATATATATATATATATAATTTATACAAAGTATTAAATATCAATGTTAATGTGATTAATGGCGAAATCACTTCGCTAACAGAACTTAATTTACTATCAATTCCTTGAATAAGATCTTTATATTCGAATTGTTGTCAGATGGAAGACACATATCAAGTATTTTTGACAATTTATAATTTTCATCTTTAGGGCGCAATTTTCCTATATACAGATAAACACTAGAAGGAAATATGTGTAGACCGAAAGATTTTTTGAATTCTGCTATTTATTGACAGTTGATTATATGTGTTGGAGCATGCGATGCCGCGACGCTAGAGTTCAGGCTCTAATCAAGTGAGAATTTTGTTTGAATTTTGAAAAGATAGAAAATCACTAAAATTTCTTGGCAGGTGTATTTATCTGTTAAAGTGAAATGGACTTAGTATAATCCATACATACTTGGCGTGTGTTTTCTATCTGAAAACAACTTGAATATAAGGATCTTAGTATTTCAGAAATTGATAGTAAATTAATGTTTCGTTAAGTTCTGTTAGCAAAGTGATTTCGCCATTAATCACATTAACATTGCTATTTAATTCTTTGCATAAATTGTTTCTTTATGATATAAAATATAAGAAAATACCTATTATCAAAATTTATACCAAACGGATAAAAAGAATACCAACACTGCTACATAAGCCCTCATTGACCCTATGAACACGAAAATAGAAACCACTGACACCATCAACTATTTTTTATATTCGAACTACCATCATAATAATTATAATTATTGATATTACTATTCCATCACCATTACTACAATCACTTCTACCATTTTACCATAACTATTTGCTTCTACAATAGTTATTGTCATCACCCGCTCACCTCCATTACTACCGCACCACAATTACCATTGCCCCATTAGCATACAATTACTACTGCACAACAATTACCATTACCGTATCATTCCACAATTATACTTCCTTCCTCCACCTCAGCAAAACTAATACCACCGCATAAATAGTAATAAGTATTATAAATTAGCAATATAAGCGCAATCTCCAAAAACAAGCAAATAAACGAATTTACAAAAGAACATTAAAAAATTAAAAATAATAACAATAGGCTTAACGAGACCCCATCTTAAGATAAAAAAAACCCGGACAGATATAAGGTGTGTGAACGTGCGTGTATATGTATACATGTGTCTGCGAGAAAACATTATACCACGAAAAAAATAGACGAACGGTTTGTGCATTGACACTGCGACTTACGAAAGAGGTTGGCTACACAATCCAACCTTGAATACAGCGGCCGATTGCGTACGTTTACACGCAACGACATATGGATGCGCATATGCACCAAGTACCACACTGCACTGTTCATATATGCTTAAGTTTTGTGTGAGCTACAATGTGTGAACGTGTGGGTATGTATGTCAGCGTACGTATAAGTGGCGTTCCAACGACAACATTTCCTCCGACTTCCATAAAAAAACAGATAAACAGAACCATAAATAAATCCAAAATTTAAAACTTAATCACTTTGTTTGATGATCTCAGAGAGCGGGAAACCCAGGGTCACAAACTCACATCAGTTCAATTAAATATGTTAGTTGTATCACTGATGTTAAATGTTTTCTTATAAGTAACACGCATATATAATATAAATAAATATATATATATATATATATATATATATATATATATATATATATATATATATATATTACACACACACTCACACACACATATATATATATATACATATATATGTGTGTGTGTCATATCATCATATATATACATGGTATATAAATGCATAAATATATATATCCTTATTTTGAATATATATATATATATATATATATATATATATATATATATATGTATATCGTTGATTTAGTCTTCTTTCATTGAATTATATATATATATTATATATATTTATTTAATTATATATATTATATTTATATATATATATAAATATATATTTATATATATATATATATATTTATCGTTGATTTAGTTTTCTTTTATTCAATTATATGTTATTATTTTAATTATGCGATTGCTATGTATTTATTATTGCAGATCAAGGACCTCTTTTATGAAAAGCCTTCCGCCCGTCTTCCCTTTCTACCTTCTTTCTTTCCTTCCTTCATTCCTCCTTATATCTTAACGTCTCCTGGTTTTTTTTTTCTATATTTATTTAAACTTACTTTGCACGGCACACATAGATAAAGTTCTAAAGAACAAATTTTCTTTCTGTAGATGTTGTCATGACATCAAAGCTGGTGTGAGGCGCCAAACATAACTAAGTGCATCCAATGACTTGCAAATTACTTCATCTGCCCTGGAAGAGCACAGATGAAATTATTATTTCCAGACGACGTTGGATCAACCTACGCAAATGTATGGTGTCTCAATGCACTTACTTGTCAGACAAGTTTCTACTGCTAACGGATATTTTCTTTACTACTTTAGTAAATATTTGGTACTTTAGAATCGGTGACAATACTAGAAAGAGCTTCAGCTTTGCCTCTGGCCGAAACTAAACTTAATTCTCTACTGTCTATATGGTAGCGATTCTACAAATTTGAAAATCGTAAAATCCCAAATTTCGGAAAAGTGTCAACTTCTACGTATTTCGCGTAAGAGAAAATACAAGTATACACACATACACACACACACGCACACACACACACACAAACACGTACACACACAAAGTACACACACGTGTATGTGTGTGCGAATAAAGACTGCTCTATAGGTTTAAAAATGAAAGCAAGGAAAAAAGAATGAAAGAAATGAAGAGAAAAATAAAGACAGCACGAAATAAAAGAAAGAAAGAAAGAAAGAAAGAAAGAAAGAAAGAAGTGATGTGAATAGAAAGAAAGAAAGAAAGAAAGAAAGAAAGAAAAAAAGAAAGAAAGAAATGCATGAAAAGCATAGATTAATGCTAAGATAGTCTGTTTGATTTTATGGGAAATTTCGCTACGGACGAATCGAGATTTGCATTCGCTTTTGCCTGAATGAAAGAATTTATCATTTCACAATATGCACATGAAATGAGATAAACTCAAATTTGCACAAATGATACCAGAGGTCTTTGGCAGATTATATGGAATCTATCTCTCTATATATATCTATCTATGCGTGTTTTATGATACAAATATTTTCATCAGTATTAATAACATTCGCAATTCAGTCCTTACTTTGCCAGCTGAAACCTACCATGCCGCAGTCAATTCAGTCATTTCCTTCGTATTTCATTGGTAAGGAGGAAGCTCCACTTAGCCATATTATTCCCAAGGCTTGTTATATTTTCAATCAGATCTCCGAAAGGATTAATCCCTAATCCCTGCAATCTTAACCCTTTCAAGCTTATAATGAGAATAAAGACCAACTTTCACAAATATCAAATATATTGAACAATTACCTGAAAATATATATTAAATTTTTTAACTTGATTAAAATTATAACCACAGTTTGTTTACTTGTATTTGCATTAACACTTTCCCTTATTTTCTCGGTCATGCCGTTTTACTGGACAACTATGAATAAGAACACCTTTTGTAGTTGTTCGTAAGGCTGATTTGCTGACCGCTTTGGAGAATAAATTGACATGAAAGGATATTATTTATGATACGACATAATAGATGAGTGAGGTTAAACCTAATTCAATTATCTGAAGGATTGGCTTTCATTTTAACTGCATCATTAAAGTAACTATATTTTAACCATTTTCTACTCATACTTTAATAATAATATTTCATTACTAATTTTATAAATGTTGGAATAGCACGAACCTATATTGATTGTCGCAGAGATTATGATATTCTCAGAGAATCTTACTAAATTAGTACTGAAACAAAGAGGAACGTTTCTGTTTTTAATCATTTTATACCTACACCCTTGTGCAAATTAATTGAACAATCACTTTCGATTCCTTTCTTCAACATTGTGATAGGGGGTAATCAATTTCTATTTTTTCCTCAGATTAGGTCATTTGCAGTGGTGTGCAGTAATATGAATATCTTTTCGTAGTGTATGATGAAATTTTGTTTGGCTTTGAAAAATATTGCGTCATCCATGATTTCATCAGATGTTATCACGCCCTGATACCATTGTCTCGACTGTCGATTAGTTGTCCTACAGACCATTGTCTATGATGGACGTTACTTTAAGGAAGCGTACAAAAATTGTAACGCTGCTCGAATACACTGATGAGCCTTAGTGAGCAAATAAATTTACTACAGAATGAATCGGAATCTGTCCTGATTTAAATCAAATCTGTGGTCAATCTGCAAGGAACGATTTCGTGGTATGAATATACGAAGTACTAACATTGCACTGGGTCATATTTCATTGGGAAAATACGAAAAAATGAATAATAACGGGATTATTCCTTTTGATTCAATTAATTTGGACAAGGGTGTAGCAATTCGATAAAGCCACTAAGATGGAATAGGTTAGTGGACTGAAAGAAAACGAAAAAAAAAACTCTAGCGAGGAGAAAGGACAATAAAAAACAAGTTTCGAAAACATAGAAGCTGGCGAAGTTGGATGTTAATTTTTGAAATATTTATGGAAATGACAGAGGCAAGCCACAATACAACGATGGAAAAATGACTGAAGTAGATATATCACCTCAAGACCGATAACATTATAGACATCTATTTGAATTTTGGCAAGAATATATAGCAGAAGCATCAGCTCTGATATGATAGCAATATTCAGAGCATAAACGAATTATGGATTTAGAAAGGGGAAAAATGAAACTGTCTTTACAAAGTGAACCAACTTTCATATTAAATATAATAATTCTGCTTCATCTAATGAGTTGCTCTATTTAAGTTTGGCTTCAGCCAATCTGATGGAAAGGTGAGATAGAAGTTTTGTTTTGGAGGCATTACAATTTACCAGTCATTTCTTGCTTCAGTTAACAAATGATTTGTCATTTTCGAGGTAATCTGCCAGTTTTACTTTAAGTGACCTATTGATGAGTTATTTCTTTGAAAATGGTCTTACATACACAAACATGCACGTACTCACAGGCGCGCACACACACATATATATATGCATTGGCGGTAGGTGCGATGTTGAGATCTGAAGACGGATTGGGATGGGAAAAGATGCATTCCAAAAACCGGGCAGAGTATTGCGAGACAGGATGACTTCTTTGGTGACAAATAAAAGAGTAATGCACTGCTACATGACATTTGTCCACCTATACGACAGTGAATGTTGGACAGTCTCCTCAAAGATGAAAAATAGACTCGAGGCAGCGGAGATGTGGTTCTACAGAAGCATATTAAAGATATCAGGTAGCGAACGTATGAGCAACGATGAGGTCTTAGAGAGGATGCAAACAAGGAGATTCTGAAGAATCTGATACTCACAGGTCGAATAGAGGGAAAAAAGAGACAATGGAAAATAATGGATGACATACCTGGCAGACTTAAGCGAGTGGATGGAAGGACGTGGCCTGGGGGAGTTGGCAGAGGCATGAAACTTATTGATAGATACAAGGGATAGTGGGAAGTGGAGAGCCATGAAATGACACAGCACATAAAAAGAAAAAATGAAGGATTATCTACACGTGTGTTTATAACCTGAAAAGAGAATATTTTTTATTTAAAAAAGTAAACCAAACTGCAATTTTTATTAAATAACTCGCTTACAAAAAAAAACGCCTGAGAATCATTCACCAACCCAATAGTATTTCCTTTGCTTTCTGTTGTATACTCATTTCCTTCCGGGTCCCCATCAGGGATCTAAGGTCAGAAATGGCTTCATGACATTTTGACTGATCATTTTATTATTATTATTATTATTATTGTTGTTGTTGTTGTTGTTGTTGTTGTTATCCAAATTAAATATATGATATGCATTTCAATATAACCTTTCGTGTGTAAAACGATATTTTATTTAACGTTCTTCATAATGATAAGGACAGTCGAAAATACTCGATGGAAAACAGAGCAAAACATGAAGTTCGGAAATTTTTTTCACACTCTTGATTCTGATGGTTTATGCTTTCAAAAGATTCATTAATTTATTTAAAACAAAGTTGGTAATGTTGAAATAATCCGGCCGTATATTATTCGGAAGAAATAAAGAGGTTAGCAATTAATAGAGTCTTCCGTTTTGATTAATAAATGAGATTGGTCTATGGGAGTTAAGTTATTCAAAAATTGGAAAATACATTAAGAATTAAACAGGCAAGCCTTGTCGATTGAATGTAACAAGATGATTTTTTGAATGTAAATATTGATAATTCTAACGTTAGCTTATACGTAGAATATTGCTGCTGCTTCCGGTCTGGTGTTTCTGCTAAGGATTTAGAGATTCTTGCTGAAATTCAAAGAATAATCTACAATGTTATTGATCCTGACATAGCATCTCGGCTTCAGTTACTTCCCATCGTAACGTAACCGCCCTGTAGGTAGTCTTTATGAATTTAAATGTACTACTAGCTTGGTGCAAAGTCTCATAATTTTACAGTTAAAATAACTAGATGTAAGTATATGGTAACAGTTTTCATCACGCACTTCTGATTTGTGGAACTTATTTCCGAATCCTTGTTTCCTAATAAAGTTTGATCTTCAAAAACTTTAGCTTCTGCCTTTTTAATCCCCGTTCTTTTAGTTTTCTATTCTTAATCATGTTTTCTTTTTCTCATAGTATCTCACAATGATGAACCTCTTGCGTCTTAGTGAAATTATTGCTTAACTTGTTTGACAAAAAAGTAATCTTTATGCCTAATAATTGAATGTTGCATGCCTTTTTCAAACGTATTTTATTAGCTTAATTTGGGTGAGAAGGACATTCTCCCCTGAAGAGCTTTGCCATATATTTAATAATAATAATAATAATAATAATAATAATAATTACGAAATTAACTCGTTACAGCATAAATTTTGTTTAATATTCTAGCTCTTTGTGCCTAATCTATACAGATTACGCATGGTAATGGCGGATTGTACAAGTTAGGTAAACCCGTCTCTAAAAAGATAACGAGTGAAATATTTTAGGCATGCTAGTTTATTTGGAATTAATTAAATGAAAGAAGATAAGAAACTAATTATCCAGAAGGTGGCAGAAAATCGTTGGCCCATAGTGTCTATGTAGGCCACACATTTTACAGTCGTTACAAATTTATAATCTGTTTCTGTTAGTCTATCAATAGTTTGACAGTCTACAATTTCTTCAGGAGAAAAAGTGTTACGCAAATAAAAACTGCTTAGCTTGGCTGTTTTCCTCGAACTAATCGATATCTTATTGATCACATTCTAACAAAGAAGTGTCACCGCTTAAAATCTATTTACAATAGACACATTCAATAAAATACATTTTCGATTTTAGTTCTTTACTCTTTTTCGTTGTGACTAATAAAATGGTATTTACCTTTTTGCTTGTGATGAAATATACTCCAACCTGTTGAGATGAAAGGCAATCGATAATTTAATATATTTTGTCTCCTTCGGAGATCGTTCGTCTGGTAATCGGCACCATTTTACGCGACATAAGTACACTTAGATTATTGACATATTTCTGAAGATTTTCATATGGAGAAGTTTTTAGACTGTTTTGAGAAAAAGAAAAGAAAATAATTTTCATTTTTTATATGATACCGTTTTTCTATGAAACATTTATTTTTCGACTAATGCAATATTTCTACTTTATATTCGGTAGTAGAAACATACTACTGATTAATTTAAGACAAAATCCGCGGTGAAAGATCTTCAAAGATTAAAATAATCCCAGCTAAATCACATCATTTCTGAAAGCTTTTATTTTAAGTTGCGCCTATAGGAAATAAAGTGTTCATATAACAATGGATCAGTCTAAGGCTTCTTATTTGACCATTGTTCAAGTAGCAGAATTGCTTCATAAATTTCACTGGAAACTTTAAAGCCAATATCATCATCATTATGATCAAAGTAA